AAAGAAAGAAAGAAAGAAAGAAAGAAAGAAAGAAAGAAAGAAAAAGTAGAGACTTTATTTGTTCAAAAAAAGTTTGTTTGTATCGGAATTGAATCTAAGGTCTTTCCATTGCATCTGTATTCCTAGCCCTTTTTAAAAAATTTTTATTTTCAAGACAGTCTCACTAATTTGCCCAGGTTGGGCTCAGACTTGTGCTCCTCCTGCCTCAGCCTTCCAGAGTGCTGAAATTACAGGTGTATGCCACCATGTACCAGTTATCTGTTCAACATCTTTAAGCACCTTCACTAAAGCAGGCCCTGTTTCGGGTACCTAGCTAGCCAAGGAGCGCAAGATAAGGACTGGTTCCCAGGAGTTCTCAGACTAGTGCAAAAGACCAAGACTAAACCCAGCTCCTCATGGAAGGTGATCCTGAAAGATTAGGTCAGAGTCTGAGCATGGAGGAAACAGCACCTCTCTGGGTTCTGTTCCTTCATCTGTCAAGTACAGCTGAGAGCAACTTCTCAAGGGGAGAGATCTGAGGAGCAAGGCTGCAATAGACTGTCACCATTAGGACACCCGAGCTGAGAATGCAAATTTAACCAGCAATGATTTTCTCATCCCTGTGGTGGGCCAGGTGCACCTCCCGTCACTGGTTCTCCCAGAAGGCCAGAAAGAGGGTGCTAGCGTGGAGAAGGAAGAAGAGAAGCAAGGGAAGCCAGAGGAAGATGCTCCCGCCTCCAAGAGAGTGGAGCCGGCGAGGATCAAAATCTTCGAAGGAGGGTAAGACTCGCACTTGGCTTACAGTCCACCTCCTGTGGATGAGAGTTTGTGGACAGGTGCTGTGAGCATCTCTTGCCAGGGCTGTGCCCACAGGTGCCCTGGTACACCACCCTCTTGACACTTGGAGGCTACCTCTGTTTGAGAGTGCCTGATGGGGATGTGTGATGCTGGGTATTCTTGGAAGACCTGGAGGGCTGTGGTCTTCCCCAGCACCGCACTTGCTCAGCCCCTGGGCCAGGTTCTTTGCCCCTTCCCCTAGCTCTGTCTACACTGCCACTTCCTTTGGTGTGTGTTCCACAGGCATCACTTCTCCCCTGTCCAGGCAGTCCCCTGACATCATGCCCAGTTTCCTACAGGGGCTTAGGCTTTGCCTGAGACATTGGTGGAGACAAGAGCTTGTGGCACACGCCACTGGTTTAGGTGGCTCCCTGTGTTGACTGGCCAGGCCCATGGCTCACAACTGGAGAGAACTTTGAACATCATCCCTGGTCATTTGTCTTTGGTGCTTCTCTTTGGAAACCTCACGATCTGCACATCTTGGAACTCACCACTTTGGGAGCCCTAGGGCTGGAGAAGAGTGCCTTGCTTCAGATGTATTTTATAGGCCTGTTCTGTGCCCGCTGTGTTCTGTGTTTGCTCCCAGGATCTGGGTGTCTGTGGCAGGTGCCATGCTGTCTGTCTCAGGGTTCTGTGTCTGTGTCCCTGGTGTGATCAAGGTGGTCCCTGGTCCCACCCAGTCCTGAGGAATAATGACGTGGAGGAAAACTGACCTCCTGGAGGCCATGAACTCAGCCAGCCCAGGTGCAAGCTCTGTCCCTCTGCTTCTCCAGCACCTGCAGGTATCTAACTCACAGGTCAAAGGAAGAAGTACCAGAGTCCTCTGCAAGGTTGGAAGAGAGCATAGACAACCCCTCAAGGCCACAAGTTGGCATCTTTGGGTGATTCTAAGCAGAGGGGCTGGAATGGGGGTCAGTTATCAGTTGGGCATGAAGTCAGAGAAAGCAAATACCACTGACATATGCTGCCAAAGTACCAGGAGTAGCTCCATAGGGGAACACAGGAACCAAGATGTTTCAGCATGCCAGCCTGGCCTCCAATGGGGGACGGCTGTTTTCTATTCCTGCTGTTTGGTTAGAGCGCCCTCTTGTGTCTCTGTGTTCTCATGCCATTGGACCCTAAAAGGCTGTGGAGGCAAGATCCTAAAATTGATGTCTGGTCCCAGTAATGTGCCACTTCCCTCTTGCATCAGTGACAGTCTCTGGGACCCTGAGGGGCTGCATGGTGTTGGCTGGTGACCCAGAGCTGGCCTCTCGAGGCATTCTGTGACTACATGAAGAGGTAGTCACCTCCAGCGTGGAAACTTGGTTCCCAGAGACCTCCTGCTGCTGCCTGTGACACTGGGGAAGGTTGAGGCCCAGAACAGGCAGCTGCAGGAGCCTTTGCCTGCCCAGATGCTGGGACAGCTCTGCTTTCATACCTGAGTCCCTTCTCTTTGTGCAGGAGGCCCCATCCTCCATGTCCCGTGTAGGTGTCACTTTGCCCCCTGTGTTGCCTCAGAATCGCCCTCTTGTTGGAAGGGCCCACCTGCCTTTGTCCAACCTCAACCCACCCCTCACCACTCAGTGTCCCACCCATGAAGGGTTAGTGAAATGCCTGTGGGATGGTCAGAGGGCCTGTGAGGCCTGTGGGGATTCACAGGAACTCAGCGAGGAGATGTTGGTACCCTTGTCTCTGCTCCACCGCCGTGGGAATTAGGAGGCTCACTCTTTTGGCTTGTTACGCCTGACTTGGGCCCTGAGGGGTAGATGTGGTGTTGCCCATGAAGCCCTCTCACCTCCAGGTAGCTGTCTCACTCAGGTGCCTGCTTCACTTCCTTCCTCCCCCACTTCTGGTGATTCCATTTCCTTCTTGGCTCTCTTGGGGCTGATTTCACCCCTAGAAATATGTACAAACATCAGGGAGAAAGGAACGTGTGTTTAGCTGTTACATCCTGGGAACCCTTCTGGCATTTCATGGATGGAGCCAGGGTAATGACCATCCAGTCAACCAACCATGTTGTCACCTGTCCCAGAACACTAAATGCACTTCACAGGCCCACCATCCGCAGTCAGGTCAAGCTTCGCCTCAGACTTTGTTCTTTTTCTTTGGAAACACTGTGAATATCTATTTTTTACTCCTGTACATGTTGGAGAAGGGACTTCACTGGGTTCCATGAGGGACCCAGGCAGCATGAGCCAAGAAAGAGAGAAGGGAAGATTGGTCCATTGTGGGCTGGTCCTAAAGCTCCTGCCTGGGGGCTTCTGCTGCTGTCCTCTACTGGCATGAGCCGTAGGGCCTCTGCGAGGTCTTTCCTGGAGGTACAAGCCTACCTGTGCTTGGGAGGACCTGAAATATTCCATAGGCCATGCCGAGGAACTCCAGTCTGTTCAATATGCACCTGCATCTTGCTAATTTTACTCCAGTGTCTTCTAGATGTGTCCATGTTGAGACCCAGTTAGCCACAATAAGTCACTAAGCCAAGATGAAGGAATAGATGCTGGGTGGGTCCAGCATCCTCACAGACAACATCCCATCTCTAGTCAGGCTCCTTGTTATTTCCTTGATCTCCACTCCAGTGCCAGTGATAGAACTGGCTTACTGAAGCCCTCCCATCACAGATCCATTTGGTTTGTCCCCCTGAGTGCTCTGAATTAGAAGACGCCAGGGCCTGAGAGGGCCAAACTGCCATCCTTCCCTTCTGGGGCCTCCCAGGATGGCACCACAAAGCTGACTGCTGAGACAGGGGAAAGCAGATGTCTGAGACTGGAATAGCTGAAGAGCTTCCCAGGGTTGTGGCCAGGCCCAGAAGGCTCAGACAGCTGTTGAGCTGAGGCAGGGTGGGCCGCGGGTTCGGTGTGATGGCAGCGCCTTTGCCAGAAGGGGACTGCTTCCTGTCCTGGTGTTCTCCCTTGCTGCCATCTTCCTCCTCCTTGGCTTCAAGCACCTTCCCCATGCATCTTAGTTTCCTTCCTCATCTCTGGCTGGGACACGACACCCCACACCAGCTAGTTACAGGACAGGTTTATTTGGCTCATAGTCTGCAGAGCTTTCGTTCCTCAGCCCTGAGACCCCTTCTCCACCAGCTCCCTCCTGGGGACCTTCCTATCCCCACTTGTGTGACCAGGCCATGCCCCGAGCACTGTGCCAGTAGCCCAACCCACCTGAGTATCTGGTGGACTCCCCCTTGGACCCGGCACGGCGGATGCCGAGGACGACTGTGACTGGTCTCCGACATCCATCACAGAAATTATTTTAAAAGTTCACTTAGCTCTGGATTGCTCAACTCGCAGAGATTATATTTTAGCAGCTGTACTTTTCCATCTCATGTATTTTTATTTCTAATAGCTGAATATATCTATTCAAGTCTTAAGAGGCCTGTTGTGTGACCCAACTCAGGTTATTTCACGGGGCATCTTTGTGTGTGTGTGTTTCATGAAATTATAGCTTCATGAGAATAATTTTAATTTTTAAAAATATAAAGATTATTTTCTTCCCTGATACTCTTTCGCAAATCTATTCCTTCTTAGTCTACAAATATCGTGTGTTTGTCAGCCTAAACACCTGCTCTGCCTCACTCTCCCTCACTGTGAACTTCAGGGCTAAAAGGGTGCTGAATTATACTTTCAGAAATATTTATTGCCACTGCATCATAGTTGGGAGCAAATTGATTAAGCTTTTAATTTAATGGGTGGTGATAAGTTAAAGCCTTTCATGTCGGCATGAAGAAGAAACTCTTCAGGTGACCCACGCTTAAGCCCAAATCAGGACTCCTCCTGCTTACCTGAGGGTGGGGATGGAAAGGTCGGAAAGTATCGAAAACAGCCATGCATCCCGCCACCGCACTTGCCGCGCGCCCTTGAGCACCACCGCTATGGCAAGAGGGCAGCAGAGGCCCCTTAGAGGGAGAGCAGGGAGACGCGTGTGCTGCAAAGGCAGCGCTGTGCTTCCAGATGCCCAGCCCCAGCCCCTCTGTCTCATGTCCATTAGCAAGCTCCATGAGCCTGGCCTTGGAACCATAGCCAGAATCAGCCCATGGTCCCCTCGACCAGCCCTGCTGGATGCTCTGAGTGTCCTTGTGTGACCTGCTACCTGCTCCCGCTGCATGACAGCCAGCATCTCATCACTTCTGTGCATGTGGCACCTCCTTCCCTGGCCTTTGCCTCCTATTGGTGCTCTCAGACGGTGCCCTGAAACATGCCCTGCCTCAGGGCTCTGCACATTCTATGCCTTTTGTCTGGAGCACTGTTCCTAGAGTGTGCCAAGACTCCTATTGCTGCCATCAGTCACCCTCAACATCATCTCAGACTGCCCACTGTGAAGCTTACCTTCCTCTGGCATTTCTTAGCCCATTCCCTAATTTCTCTCCAAGTATTTATTAGTGTGTTTCCATCTCCTCCCTGGGATAAGGCAGAAACTGTCCACTCACTGCTGTGTCCACAGTGCCTGGCACACAGGCAGTGCTAGGCAGTGTTTGTCACTGGAGGGACACTTCCTCCAACGTGGCCAGGGTGGACTGGGATAGACTCAGGCGAGGGATAGGGCCCTGAGCCAGGAGCTCCTGGGAGCTGAGAGCAGAACCAAGGCTCTGGGTCTCAGGGAGAAGCTAGGACAGTCAGCGCTGTGCCCGGGAGGCTGGGACCCACCTGAGATCAGACATGGCCTGGGAGGGTCCCCAGGAAGGCTCGCCAAGGAGCAGACTCCTGGAGCAGGAGCCGAGGTTGCTGGCTTGCTAGCAATTCTGCTCTGTCCATGTGAGAGATGAAAATGAAAAGTTAATGCACAAAGGGGTTACCCTTGGGCTGGCTCCCGGCCTGCTCCGAGCAGAGCGCTGTGTGCACTCGAGGCTGGGGTGGGCACTGGTCCTGGGTGTCCAGCTGGGGGCAGGGAGGTGGCTGCTTTTCTCCTTGCTGAGCCCAGGTCATCAGCAGCATCTTCTGGAGCCCTGTGCCTGGCCCTCTGAT